ATTCATAACACGTGAGACAGAGGAAGGAGGGGGCTACTTCATCCAGGAGTATATTCACTTAATTACATTAAGTGAACCGAGAGAGAGAGAGAGAGAGAGAGAGAGAGAGAGAGAGAGAGATTGAGAACAAAAAACAATGAAGTTCAGAAACAGCAGAACTATTTCTTCTTATATCCTCCTTCATTAATTCATTTATGTTGAATTCACATAGATGATGGCAGACAATGTGCACACACGCACACACACATTCCTCTAACCTTTTAGACAGGATATCATCAAGATTTCCCATTTGATAGCTTAAGTCATAATTTCATCCATCTTAAGAACCAGTATCGGAAAGCAAACATACATGAAACATTTCTTTTGGGAAAAGGGAGTCTTCTCTGAATCAGTTTTGTATAATGACTTAATGAGGGCCCTGAAGACATCAAATCTTATTTTCTACACAAAGGTAGATTGGAAAATATGTATACCATCCTGAGCGTTAAATCCATGCTGCAGAGCAATGAAAAGCTGACATATTACCCTCAAGTAGATGAAAGTTCAAGGTGGATAATGTCCCTCTGCTGACTGGGGTAAAAACTCAGCAGTTTGGAGCCCCAGGAATTCATGACTTTGTAAATGTCAATGCGGTGCAATCTTTTAAAGCAGGAACCAGCTCACATCTGGTGCACTCATTCATCTTCTTTCTTTTCCCACTGGAGCGGAAGCTCCATGAGGAGTGGCACTTTGTCACTCTCATCACTGTCATTGTCACAACCATCCACTTCTCTCACACTTGAAATAAAATCCAGCCCCACATGTGTGGCCCCTGCCTGCCTCTCCACAATTCCCCCCACTTCCCTCTAACCACCAAGCCCCTTGCTATTCATGAAAGCCACCAGCTTCTGCCCACTTTGCTTTTTATTTATTTATTTCTTTTTAATCTTTTTTTTAATTTATTATAGTCACACACACGGGGGGGGGGGGGCGGCAGAGACATAGGCAGAGGGAGAAGCAGGCTCCATGCACCAGGAGCCCGATGTGGGATTCGATCTGGGGTCTCCAGGATCACGCCCTGGGTCAAAGGCAGGCGCCAAACTGCTGTGCCACCCAGGGATCCCCTCACTTTGCTTTTTAAAATGGTCATTCTTTTCACCCCCTCAGACAGACAGGTCTTCCTGACTGCGGTTCTAAAATTTGCATCCCTCCAAACCTGTCATTCGTTTCCTCTTAGTCTGCTTTGTTTTTCTTCATAGTATATATATCACCGTCTATAAGGAGTTTTTAGCAGTGAGAATAACTCAGTAATATTCACTGAATGGGTAAAGTTTTGGCAAGTGAAGAACATCCCAGGATGGGACATGAGTATAGACCTCAAAGTGACCCCCCAAGTTACACACCAGGGTTCTTAGGGCCATTAACAGAAACAGAGATAGCAGGAGGGGTTTGTATAGAAAGAAATAGCTAATCACCATTGAATTGTCTTGATTTGTATACAGAAATTTGTCATGTCTTATTTGTAAAATGGAACTAGGTGATGTATGCAGAGTTAAAGACTCTGCGTTGGGTCCAACAGTTCAGTATTACGTTGGGGAGATAAATGTAGAAACTATCAAATCCATAATAAGGTAAAACCTGGTTTCCACCAATTTAATCTCTATTAAAAGCCTCATAAACCACATTTTGGTAAAAGGGACTAATATCTATCTCACAGTTATGCCCAGCTTCTAACTCAATTGGCATATGTTTCTTCATATTCCTCTTTAAAGAGTCAATGGTTTATGAAATTATCCAAATACCTGAATCCTTCCCTAACCAGAAAAAGTCACTAAATGCAAAAGAATTTAAATTGCACACAGTCCTTAATCCCCTCAGGCTTTCCCCCTCCTCCAAGAGCAAGCTTTAGTTTCAGAAAAGAAATACATGTATGTAAAGCCCAGTAAATTTGGGGTAGGTGGCTCTATGGTTTTAACTCAATGCCTTGATTTTAACCCAAGCTGTTGAAAGGTGCAGCTTAAAAATAGCCAACTGCTATTTTTCCCACCCCGTCCCATGACTTAATCAATTCCTCTTCCTACTTCAGGAGGACTGAAGGTGGAAGTCTTTTCCTCAGCAGAACCCCCATTTGTGGAGTGTTGTGAGAGGAAAGCCCTATGGAGTCCTGGGAGGGATGGGGGGGATACCTCTAAGACAATACTCTAAATGAGCATTTGTTTCCTGAAAACACTTCAGAATGTTGAGTATGCTCAAGATGCAGGCCTTGCAGCTATATGGTGGTCTGGATCTTTCAGTATAGACAGTGTTTTTTGCTCAATTCAGCTTCGACCAAATCTTATCTTCTGGAAGATTTGAAAGGTGTGAAAAGCAAGACAAAGTTCCAACCTCAGGCTTTCTAGAAGAGTCTCATCTCTTGCTGTCAACTTTAAAATGGCTGTCTTCTTCCAAAGACGTCAGACCATTTGGAAACCTCTGCAAGGGCTTTGCAAAATATATCATATAGAGGTCAATGTCGCTCCCTCAGTATCCACATCCTGTGGGTAGCAAATTTGTATAGATTCAAGGTTATAAAGGGAATGGATTTCTCCCGTCTGAAGGGGACCTCACACTGTTTCATTAACTTTTTAAGCCTTTCTGACTAAAACCAGAGGCCTGGTTGACAGTCTTTTCACATCCCTTCCAACTCTGGGAGTCCAGGTTTTTGCTCAGGCCCAGATAATTCTCATAGTGAAAAAGTGAAACTTCTGTTCTAGCTAATTCAGTCTTCGGCACATTTGCTACTGTTTTTTAGAAGCCAGAGGCGATTTACAAGGGAACTTGCAAAGCCATTTTGCCTGAACAAATTCTCCATCTGGTGATTCACTGAACATTATCTCTTATTTCTTAAAGGAAGAAACAAGGAATGGACTTAGAAGGCCTCATGTTGATATTTACCTGCCAAGACATCTTAACTCTGCTGACTCTCCAGAGAGACCCATTTGTACATTTACATTTAAAAACAGGCCTTCAGTATAATTTCCCACTATTCCTTTCCTTCATCTTAGGTGAGTGAAGCTGCAAGTTGAGGCCCTGTCCGCATATAAATACTGGAATAGCTGAAATCCAGGGAGATTAAAAAAAAGAAGAAGAAGAAAAAGACCATATTTTTTATTTCGTGAGGCCCACAAACGAGTTTGAGTATTTTTTTCATCAGTTGTTTGGTGATGCCTAAGAATATTGCTGCTGCCAAGGCACCTCACCTTGCCTCCTGTGAAGAAAGGGAGTGAGATGCTGAGATTCTTGTTATGCAAAGGGGAAAAAAACAGGGTCTGCTCCAACGGAGGAGTGATCTCATCCAGGCTCTGCTCTTTCTTCTGGGATGCTCTCAATTCCCCAAACCACCTCCCCTCACCCTCCCCTCACAACTCCGGTCTTTTGCCTTCTCTTCCTCCTGGTTGCTGGGACACCCTTAATGATCTATTGGTATCCCTGCAGACTTTACTATGACCCTCTTGATCTCTGTGTCTCCTGACTTCCTGAAGCCAGGTGTGCCTTTCCATGTGAGGACCCGCTTTTTCTCATCAATTGCATCCCTTCTGCTTCTTCACTTTCCACCTCTAGAGATAATACCTCCCCTATCAAGTTGGTTTGTTTCCTAGCCAGCTTGTGCCTAGGAAAAGAGACTGCCCTTGGCTCCTTCCTCTCTTCCCCAGTGCTGCTTCCCAAAGGCCACATACTGCTTCTCATTCAGCTGATTTTTTTGTGTGTTTCTGTGACCCTTGTTGCTATTTGACTTTGGATCTTGCCTTCTTTTTATAGTCCTCTGCTGTTCACACGGGAGGACAGAATCTGGGCCAGATATATGTAGAAAGAGGGCTAGGAAAAACGAGAAGAGGAACTGACTCGGCCAGGAAAGGGTAAGAGGTTCACAGGACACTGAGAAATGGAAATATTGCATATAATCTTACATAAAGGAACAAAACAAGACATGCACTCATTTGCTAGTAAATGTGCACATTCATTCATCAACTCAACACCTGTCTGTAACAAATCTTGTTGTCTCTTTCACAAAATTGCTCAAGATTATTTCTTCTCTCTGTGCAGGATTTTAGACTTACAACCATCCTCCAACACAAATGTGAAATGGCCATTTTCTAAGCCAGAGGTGCTTGTCTCTCTTTTACTCATGTTGGGCAAAACACAAGGCCCTGATCTGTGGCACAGCCTGGTGAATTTGAAGCTTTTGTGTAGGCTCTCATATAGTATTCACCCAGTCATTTATTCATTCAATCAGTCAACCATTTAGCTGATATTTATCAAGCAAGAACCTAGTACATGCCAGTCATTGTCCTTGTACTCTGGAAGTGGCAGTGAATAAAACAAAGTCTCTGGTCTCATGCAAGTTACTTTTTGGAAGTGTAGGTTGAAGGGAGACATACATATTCCTTCAGGTGTTGGTGAATCCTGAGGAAAAATCAGGTGGCTAAAAGAATAGAAAATCACGAGGAGAGAAGATGCATCATTAAGTAAGGTGGCAGGAAAAGGCTCCACCAATATAATAAGTTGTAACTTGAATGACTAAAATGTGGGAGTAAGCCATATGGATTTCTAGAAGAGAGCCTTAGATAATGGGAGCAGGAAATCAATAATCCTCAAACAGAAGAGTGTGTGGTGTATTCAGAAAATAGCAAAAGGTGGAGTTATCTAGTAGGTCCATCTCTTAGGAGCACCTATACACCTTGCAATTTTTTTCAAAAAATAATATCTACTTCATTATGATCACCTATTTAGGGCTTATCTTTTCCCTCTAGCTGCACACAATACAAAGCAGGAAATCAACTGCTTGGATTACCCCCACGTCCCCGTGCTTGCTCAGTATCTGGTACATCCGAGGTGTACCATAAATAGTAATCAAATGAATGAGTGGATGTCTGAATAAATTGCCCTATAAAATGAGATAATGCACATAAATCTTTTAGCTCAGTACCAGGCATATACTACACACTTAATGTATTTCAGGGACAATATGTTGCTGCTGATGCGGGTGATGATGACACAACCCAGCAGAAGATGAACTTCTTCCTGAAGATGGAGAGACTACTCCTGGTCTACGGTAGGCCTATGCAGGAAGAAGGTCTCTTTAGCTAATTTTTGCAGAAATACATCCAGTGGGTGTGTGCCCTGTGTAACTCCAATGATAGCTGTGGCAGCGGCAAATTCATCTACAATGACATACAGATATAACAACGTCCAAATATACAGTCAATAACAAGAAGGCAGAACTATTCAGCTCTTAGTTTGCTATGGCCTGCCAAATAAGGAGGAAGGTCTTCAGAGAGAAAACAGCTAAATGATGTAAAATGAAGATTGTCATCCAAGTGAGGGATTCGTGAAAAAGAACATATCTGGGATCCCTGGGTGGCGCAGCGGTTTGGCGCCTGCCTTTGGCCCAGGGCGCGATCCTGGAGACCCGGGATTGAATCCCACGTCGGGCTCCCGGTGCATGGAGCCTGCTTCTCCCTCTGCCTGTGTCTCTGCCTCTCTCTCTCTCTCTCTATCATAAAATAAATTAAAAAAATTAAAAATAAAGAACATATCTGCTTGAAGTAAGTTCTGCATTACCGGCCCACATACAGAATTAGCAGATGTTGTTCCAAAGATCCAGCCCTCACAACTTTTGAAGCATCACATGCAATAGAGAAAGTCTCGATTTGAAGTAAAGGAGGATTATGGATCTCAGAAACCAAGGGAAGGTGGCATTGTGGTAGAACCTGAAACGTTCTGGGGTTGACGGAAAACAAATCAACTAGTGATGATCCAACTGTGGCTATGTGGGATATTAGAGCTGGTAAGTGTTGTAGAGGTTATTTCACAAAGCACCTTGCTCTTTTATTTCACAGGTAAGGGAAGCCCTGTTTTTCGCTGGAACGTCTCTCCTAAAATTTGTCATCAGTGGCAGAGCTGAGAGTAGAACCTAGACCTTCTGTCACAGAAGTAGGTGTTTCTTCAATTACTCTCCATAACTGGTCCCCTGCTCACGCTCTTGCCTTTCTACAATCTATTCTCTACCTAGTATCAAAGTGATCTTTTAAACCTGAACTCAGATCATTTTACTGTGCCTCATAAACTCTCTAATGGTTTGTCCTCACAATTAAAATTCAAATTCCTTATAATGGCGTATGGCACTTCTCTAGCATACAGTGTTGCCTGGCACACAGTAGGTGTTAGTGAATGAATGAACTTCTTTTTTCTCCAAATAATATTATAAAGTTGCCAATCATCTGCAGAAACAACTTGATTTAAATAAAATAGTCAGTAGTATTTCCTCTGAAATTAACGTACATGATGAAATTTAAGCTGAGTAAAAGTGGGTCAGCTGAATTCAACAATCAGCCCAAATAATTTATTTCAGTCTCCATTTGCCGGTGGACAACCACTCATTCCCTCTCTGGCCCAGCCTCATTAGGCCTGTTTACCAGTGATTTTGATGACAATATGGAAAGGAAATTTATGAAATCTGAAAGGCGCAAAGTTGGAAAGGATCAGAAATACAACAATCAACATTCAAAAATGTTCTGACAGGCTGGAATTCTGAGCAAATTCCAATAAGATGAAATTTAATAGCAATAAATGCAATGTCCTGTATAAAAGTTCAAATATTAATTGTATAAGTACAGGATGGAGAAACTTGGCTTGGCAGAAATTCATGTGAAAAAGATCTGGAGGATTTAGCTGACCACAACTTTAATAAGACCCATCAGTCTGAGGCAGATGCCTTTAAAAAGTCCAATTCAGAGGTTGCATTAGTAGAAGCCCTTTGTCTAAATTACAACCAGTAATCGTTTTCCTACACTCTGTAGCTCAGACCACATCCGGCATATTTTGTTCAGTTCTGGGTGCCATATTTTAATGGGGACACTTAATCCAGGGGAAGAAAACCAAGATGGAGAAAGTCTGAAAACCAAGTCATGGTTGAAAGAATCAAAATCCAAAATCATGCCAGTATTTTAAGTTCTACAGGATATTGGAAGAGCTTCATTTTTGCTGTTCTAGAAATCAGCGATATGAAACAATGGCATTCAGTGGTTAGTAAAGGTACTGTTGCTGACAGAAAATTTTTGAATCAGTGACTAAGCGAGGTCAAGGAGGAAGGACACTTCTGTTAAACATAGAAGAAAATTATATGTACCTGGAGTTTTACAATATAATGGCCACCTGCAAGTTGGAATACATAAACTATTTGCTGCTGGAGATTTCCAAGGCAGTACAGGAGCTAACTATACCTCAGAAGATAAGAACACTGAGTAAATACATCAGCTCTGCATCTAGGACCTCCAAACTGAGCAGTGTTCCTTCCCTACCTCGGTAACTGTCCAGAGGGGTCATCTCCAGAGTCTCTTTCAATTCCACAGTCCATAATTCTCTGTGTATGGAACTGGCTGCCTTAAAACTGAAATCATTTCCCAAGAAACTTGACTTATTGTCTTCAAATAAAAAGTCAGATGCTATTCTGGAGCCTGCAGAAAAGAAAAAGAAAACTTTGTCTCTTTTGGCAATGATATCTAAAAAAAACTTAGCAACCCAAATAAAGAAACAGTTCCTAACCAGCTATCCCTGCCAGGGCTCAGCACAGAAGACACAGAGAAATGCCCATCTCCCAGTCTTTCCTGAAAGAGGCCTATGTGCATAGTTTAAAAGCTGCTGCCTGAGGGTCAGGCTTCTAATTTTGCAGGCATCTAGGGGCCAATTGCTTTTCTCCCCAGAGACCAGGGCAGCCTGTGGACACCCAACCCTGACCTCTCTCTCTAGCCTGTTCTGTTATTATGTTTGTCCCTTTAGAACTATAAAACTGTTTTTATTGCCATGGCTTCAAAGTCCTATTATCTAGTGCTCAAGTCCCCAGTTTTGACTTTTTTTTCCAAAGGTATTCATTTTTACATTTAAGTTTATAATATTTGTCAAGTTTCTTTTTAAAAATCCAGCTGATACCTTGATAAGGATTGTTTTGAAATTAGGATAATTTGACCAGAATTAATAACTTTACAAAGTTAGACCATTTCACCTATGAGGATGGGCTAAACTTAAATCGGTTCTTTTGTCATTAAATGTATTTTTAAAATTCTTTCCAAAGAGTTTTCATGTGTTCTTTGACAATTTAATATCCAGATAATTAATAGGTTTGGTTGTTTGGTGGGGATTTTTTTTTTCCATTGTCAATGGAATCTTAGTTTTTCTCAAATTGTCTCCAGTTCATTTTTATATAGCCAAAGAACACTATTAGTTTTGGAGGAAATTATCTTCTGTTGGGTAATCTGGTTTGATTTTCTTTTTAGTTTTAATAATTTGCCTTATTTTGTTTAATATTCTAGGAAGAATAATGAAGTTTTGACTTTTCTCCTAGTCTTACACCTCATAGTTCTTTTATTGCCTGTGCAGTTGCTAATGGCCCACAGTACTACATTACACAATAGATAACAGGAATACTTTTATTTTTCCAAACCTTAAAGTGAATCCACTTAAATCTTTTCCTTTGAATATATGTTGCCTGTTGATTTTTGTTATTTAAAATCCTGCAATAGCTCTTCTTCTAGAGGTATAACTGAATTATAGATAATATTGAACTATCTTTGAATTCTCTTAATAAACCATTAATCATTTTATTTTTAATTCACTATTAGGAAAAGTTAGTAATTTATTAGTGTTAAATTTATTGGTGTTTAGTATTTTGTAATGTATTACAATTCAAGTGGAGTATATTTTTTGTAATGATCTTATTTGATTGTTTAAATTCAGACTCTTCTAATTCTATGAGTGAGTTGTTTTGACTTCTCTTTTTTTCCTGTCCTCTGAAACAGCATTTAAACAAGGAAAATAATGTATTTCTTGAAAGCTGTTCTGTAGAACAACTATATGTGGTTACTCCAAAATTATATATATATCTGCTCAATAAAACATACCACAGAGTGAAATCATAGTTTAAAGATACAGAAGATACTGTAAAATGAAACAAATATTTTGACTATAAAGGACTTATGGAAATTAATGATTCAAAAGAAAGAGGTCACCCAATTGTGAAAAATGGAATGAATATGAACACACAAGTGTGTTCAGAAGGATAGAAGTGAGTGGTAGCAAAGAAAGGATAAGATGTTCGAATTCATTAATAATTAGATAATCGAAAGCCAAAATAAGAAAGAGATATCTCTTAATGCCCAGGAGATTTACAAAAATTAGACCTGAATAATGGCAAATATTAGTAGAGTTAGAGATAAGACTTCTTGTACTCTAGATGCTGGTGATGCTGTTGTGATTTCCTGGGCAGACATCCAGCAATATCTGTCACAGGGTATTCACACGCCTATGATCCAGCAATACAATACAGTGAAATTCCATAATGTTCTGTGGTGTTTACTCTAGATTTATGTGGGGTAGTGTAAAATGGAACACAAGTTATATATAAAGGAGGTAAATATGCAAGATGTAAAAGATTCCCACTGTGGAATTTTATGCAATTAGAAATAACCAAATGAACAGATACACACGCACACAGGAACGTAGATGGATGTCTAAAGCACAGAGATGAAAGAAAACTCTAAGCACGATGTCACATATGTAATCAAAAACATACATATACACAAGATACCATACGTACTTCCAATGTTAAATTCAATCTCAAGCATATATGTTAATTATTTTGAAGTGGTTGTTATGAGAATAAGGAAAATGGGAATGGTGAATGAGAATAAAAATGCGTATATACTTCACCTATATTCTTACACACACACACACACACACACACACACACACACTCATAAAACAAGAAGGAACCTGGCATCAACTTATAAGAAAGTGCCACGACCTGAGAAATATGATTGATCAACCATCTATACCTGCAATAAAACAAAATAAAAACAACAAGTGTTTCTCAGAATCCAAGAGACTTCAGGAAAAAGGAAATGGAAAATTGTCAGAAATTCAGAAAAGACTGTCCCTTCCCACATGTCTCTTTGTGCATTAGCCTTCCACTTCTCTCACAGTAGACTCAGTTTTTCTTTTCCTACACATGTCAAGAATTCCATTTTGTATGTCTTCCACATACTTCTATCACCTCTGTTCAAAAGACCAGCCTAGGGGCTCTTGCGTGGCTCAGTGATTGAGTATCTGCCTTTGTCTCAGGTCCTGCTCCCGGGGTCCCGGGATCGAGTCCCACGTTTAGCTCCATGCATGGAGCCTGCTTCTCCCACTGCCTATGTCTCTGCCTCTCTTTCTGTATCTCTCATGAATAAATAGAAATAAAATCTTAAGAACAAAACAAAACAAAAGACCAGCCTAGATTGACTTTGAGGAAAAAATGGAATTCACAAGTAAGATCGATGAATATGGTAGATAAGACATTTTTGTTATTATAAAGATTTAAAACTGTATCTAATGTAAAAATTGCATCTAATGTATTTATGAGAAATAAATTGACAGTTTCCAAAGAGGAATTCCAGTTATTAATTTATTCCAATATATCCATAAGCTCCTGAAAGAAAACTTTTGAAACTCATTATTTCTTTAGTGGTTAAAAAAATTTATTTTAAAGATTTTGTTCACTTATTCATGAGAGACACACAGAGAGAGGCAGAGACATAGAGAGCAGCAGGAGCAGGCTCCCTGCAGGGAGCCCGATGTGGGACTAGGTCCCAGGGCCCCAGGGTCACGACCTGAGCCAAAGGCAGACCTCAACCAACTAAGCCACCCAGGCATTCCCAGTTGTAAAAGTTTTGTATTTCATTTCTTCTTTCCTTCCTACATTACTTTCTCCCTTTCATCTTTTATTCTTTTCTTTTTTCATCACTCTCTCTTTTCTTTCACCTTCCCTTCCTCCTTTTTCACTTCCTTCTCCTCCTCTATCTCTGTCTCTGTCTCTGTCGTCTATCTGTATATCTCTATCTCTGACTTTATGTTTATCTCTCTTTTCTTTCTCACTGTCTCCTTTGTCCACAGTTTCA